AGCTTGATTATTAAATTTCCCAGTCAGTTACAAATCATTCAGAGTGAGTGCAAGAAAACAAATTAAGAAAACCCATTTTTACAGCCGCCTGGATGTTAAAAACAGGTACCCACATGATAGTGTGAGGACAGCCCTTCGGACCATGCTTTAACATCTTTAAAGATACAAATGACCTAATTTTGTTCCTTAAATCCACTTTCAGAGGGTCTAATTCAGACTGAATTTCAGCCAGACAAAGCATCCAAGTAGCTCATCTCTCTCCCTCTGAAAGTTTTGTAACAGAGAAAAGAAATGCTTTGAGAAAAATGTCAATGAATCATCAGACTGCTGTTATAGTAATACTGTACTGTGCAACCAGAAGAGGAAGGAAAACTGCAGAGTGGGCAAAAGGAAAATGCACCATCATCCTGAGCAAAGGCTCTGAACTCAGTGTCTATAGCGCGTTCCTTGTAAATATGCAAAAGGGATGCTCAGCTGAAATGCTCCCTGAAATGTTAATTTCTTTGCCCAGGAGATATGATGAAGGGTTTCTTTTCTTTTTTTTTTTTTTTTTTTTTTAAACCCAGGAGAAGCCAGAGCAGGGGCTTCGAAGAGCTTGCTGATGAGAAGCTAACACATGCTGTATTGCTCTGCTTAATTACCTTGTTTACATCCCCACAGCTCACCTCAAAAGCACTATCTGTCTAGAAGCGTTCCTGCAATCCTGGAGATATTCCTGTGAAACGCTTACTGTGCAAAAGAGCAGAATCTGATTCAAAGATAGGGAAACTCCTCCCCCTGGGAAGTAGAGCAGAAACCACTAATATTAGCGTGAAATGCCAGAATAGTTCTGCTAGGGAGGAGGTCACTCAAAGCAGGGACAGTGCCAGAAACTGAGGACTAAAGGCATTCTGTCAGATCTAAAACCCTAACAAGTACATGAACAAAGGAGGGTAAACAGCGTGGAGGGAACAAACTGTTCAAGCTCCAACCAGCTCCCTGGGTAGATTTTTGGGAGATGGGGGTTGGGAACTGCCCGCCTATACGTCATATCTATTGAACAGGCAAAAGTTAGCACTTTTGCTGTTTCCATTTTAATTAGCTCTATTGAAGGAGTTACAACGACATCTGTTAGCTTGGAATCTCTGCACAGCATTAGAAACCAAAATGAATATTTTACCACGAGCTCAGATCCAAACACTTCAAAGCTTTACAAATACGCCTGCCTTTCTCTTGGAAAACGCTGGTAACATTCACGGTGATGATAGCTGCATGGATCAGGTCTGTCTCTGCTCTACACAGCACTCATTCATGCTGCTGCTCTTCCCAGCAGAAAGACATGAGGCCTGAACAAAGCAAGTGACTCCCCGAAATGTGCAGATATCGCCAGCGTTGTCCACATCTCACAGCCAAGTCACCATGCTCAGATGTGACACCAAGGATCATATACGCAAGGATAACCACTGTCCTAGCAATGGTCAAAGAAAACCAGCCAATTTTACAATTTTCGGACAATTTACAATTTTACAATTTACACAGAGAGGCAGGGACGGTCACCACCAAAGGGACAAACTCCTCCTTGCTACACAGCCAGGATGTCTTCCATTCATAACAGGGCACACCCAGGCCCAGATGCATTGTCTTGTCTGAAAATATTAACAGTAATGTCAGTCCTCCGTTAGGTGGCAGATTGGCCCAGAGAGAGGCTCTGCTCTGAGCTTGGAGCTGGGAGGAGAGGAGGGTGAAGGAGCGGGACAGGCAGCTGGCAGCAAAACACAGCAGTGGGATTGGGGATGGCAAATAAATAGCATGGTCTGTGGCTTGCTAGGAGGAGAGGAAGGCAAGAAGGAACAGAAAGATACATAATTTTAAAGGCACTAAGGTTGAAACTCTGTGTTAAAGCTTTATACATAGGGTCAGATGTAGATAAATAGATGTAGGTAAATCAATTTCATATTTCATACGAAAACCACAGAAGAATTCTAAGTGAAAAAAACAGTCTTGCTGTAATTACAGAATATTGAAAAGCACCAGCACCTGGAGGCTTCAGACAAGTCGTGGATCCCCCCGGATCCATCACAAGGCAAATGCCAGGACATCTGTGTAGTACAGAGAGAGATGGGAGCACAGGACTGCATCAAAGGGACTCTTCCAAAGCCCTGCCCTTTGGCTCGGAAACACAAATTATGGGTATCCTCCTCATCATGCTGCTTTTATTTCAGTCAACACTACAGCCACCCTGACATACAAGTGAAGGATTTGAGTTCAGGGCAGGAGAAGCGCCTTGGATGAAATGATGGGAAACAAAGATGAAATTGAGGATGAGCCAGCACTTCACCTGCTGTTATTTCCAACTGGTGTCAACTATTGACAACAACTACCAAGTCTACTCCTTTCATTAGTATTTCTTTATCCAAAAACACAAATGGGTATACCCGATGTTATTTCATGTCAGTGGGACAACTTGGAATAACAGATACAATGTACTAAAATTAATATTTTTTAGCATTAACCCCACATTTTGCTGGTGGTATTCAATCTGATCTGCCCCTGGTTTCATCTGAACTGGGCCTGAATAAAGCTCTCAAGATTTGTTCTATAATCTTTACTGCAGCTGATTCTCTTCCCTAGCCATCTTCTTGTATCTGCATTATCAACGCCATTAAAAAAAAAAAAAAAGTAATTCCAAAATATGAATGAAGGACTTATTTTTATGTGTTTCATGTTTATGTAAACGTGGAAAATTTCTCTGCTGTTAAAAAGGTAAAGGATTAATGTGACTTTTTAATTTAATGTATTTTTGATTTTAATGTATCAAAAATAAAACCCTGCAGCTTAATTGTCACAATAAATCTTCCACTTCTAATAGAGTTTTTAAAATACCATTATAAAACTGAAAGCTTCTAAATGAGAAGTGCTAACCTACATCCCCATGCTGGTGCCCTTTCATTTAAAATGTATTTTATATGTTAAAAATATTTTCGATTTTCTATTTACAAGAATCAGGGAAGGCACTTAACACCACTGAAATAACACAATTTTAGGTGCAGTTTAACAAAGCAGCAATAGGACAAAACTAATAACTAGAGCCTGAGTGAGCTATTATATACAAATCATTAATTCAAACCTTTAGGGTAAAAAAAGCTCATTATTCACCGAGAAGTTAATCCGGTTTGTTGCCTAACTCAGAAATAGCTTTCCTCGCATTTTTAATGCGTGTACGCTATTCATTAATGAAACAAAAAAACTTACCCAAGACTTCATATCTATTATGTAAGTAAACATTACACTTTGATGTAAAAATTTACAATGTTCAGAGGTTCATTTGAATTTCACATTCACATTACCACTGAGGAGATAAAAGAAATTTCTTTTATAATGCCATGTTTACTACTGTTTCCTTTGGCTTGTTACAACTAATTTATCCTTTAAATCAAGATCTCAAATTCAAACAACACACACTGCAAGAATAGTAATATTTTTAATTTCATTTAAATCAAGTTCACTGATCAAAATCACTGTCACATCAATGACTGAGGCAAGACTATTTTTCCATTCAATGCATTCTTTCAAATTCTCTGTTTTTCTGTTACACTAATACTAAGGACAAACAGTATCATTCCACAAAATTAAAAATAAATACTGAATTAAAGAAAGAAAGATTCTTCAAGGTAAAAATAGCACTGCAAGAAGAAAACACATTATGAAATCCCAAAATCACTACCAAAAAAAATCTGAAATTCAGTTGATAGTACTGCAAATGTACGTTACTACAAAAAGTAAACTCTTACATTTGTAATCCATACTTTTCACTGTTAATAGTAGGTAAATTGATGTGTATTATTTTTTCCACATTAGAGAATGAATATATTTAATCAATGAAAAATAAAATAGCTAGTTAACATATCTACATGTATAAAATCTACATAAATCAATGAGGCATCAAAAGAAACATCTGTGTTTTCTGACAGAAAACACATTTATCTATGCGCAGAAACAAGGCAGCATGATTTTAGTACACAACAAAATTCTTGTTCTCAGGAAAACACAAAGTTTTATAAATATGCATCCATTTTATTTCTATTTTTTTTTTTCTTAAGACAGGTTATTTGCTAAGTTTCTAGATGTGCATAGAAAATGAAAACCAGCTTTCTCTCTATTAATATGGGCACACTCCATAGTAATTTCTCATAGCACAATTATTAAAAAATATTTAAACAAATTCTGCCAGCTCTAATTTTTGCACAGTTGTAACACCTAATGTGTATTTTTCACTGAAAAATGGACAAAATAGGAACATTTCAGATGGATAAACTTCAAGAAACTATAAACAGGAAAACAAGACATTTAAAAAGTGAAAATACATAATTTTCCTAATTAGCTTTGATTACATCAATCGTCTGTGCTTTATAGCTTTTATAAATTATCTGAGTCTGTGAGGGAATTTTCAGTCAGCGCAATTATAGTTAGAATAACAGTATATCAAGGCAGCTTGTCAGTCAGACCCCTCTTATGGCACATTTTGAAATTTTGATCTTTCAAAGAAAATACAAAGAACTGCTCACCCGCCTCTCAAGTAACACCTGCAGGTGATACAGCTGTATTAGCATAATACTGTCCTGGATTTCAACATGTAAAGAATACAAAATTGCTATAAATCAACATTAAAGGCTAAAATGATTTTCTCAGCCATGCTAATTTATATTGGGAGAGATGCTGTTGTCCACAGATTTTTAATTTTACTTTAAATTGCCTTACTGCTATACACCAGAGAAACCATAATATAACTAAGACCAGAAAATATTCTTTAATCTTCAATATAAAATTAAATTTTGCTGGTTTTTCAATTTATCCAGAGACTTAGCACCACTTAAAACAGTGCTTTGTTCTATTCATTTTAATCAAATGTTATTTTAATTGGGTCTGCAAGGACATGTAGGAACTACTGCACCGTTGGGAGGAATCTAAGTTTTGATCTCCTGTTCTTAAATCTCTCACATCAGCCTGGGTTTTATTCTCACCTTTAACTTCCCTTCAGGCGTTATTCCCTAGGGTTCTACGACTCCAACTCCCAGTTCAGATTTGCTCAGAAGAATATCGTGTCTATCTCGGAGCAAGCCTTGTGGAAAGCAGAACTCGTAGGGACTTTTGTAGTTTTTGTACGGTCTGTGGGAAAGAGTTAAAGACTTACACGAGGCTCTTGGGAAACACTTCACACGGCAGATGGATGGGGCAAGAGGAAGGCAACCCCACTCAGCATGTAGTTTCATGATGTTTACGAGGGTTGCTGTTGTGCACACCCACCACAAGATCAGAGTATCTCCTTACGAAAAGAAGCAACAAATCAAGGCAGGACCTGAAGACAAACAGTTGGGAACGTATGTCTTGTCTCCCTCTCCCAGCCTGATCTCTCCTAAGCTCCTTTTCTTCTCAAAGGCAGACAGATGCTGCCTTTTCTTTCTTCCTGAAGGCTGTAAGCTAGTTCAGGACACCACCAGACTGGAGGAAGAGCAGTTTGCCATGCTGCTGAGGGAGTAGCCCTCTACAAAGAATGGTCCTGGGAAATAAAGTCCATCAAGGAACAAATCAATCAGACTTTAAATGAGAACACTCTATACCCCATATGGAGGCAAAGGCTTTGAGATATGGCTTTTCTCAGTAATAAAATACTAAATTAATAATAAAATACCCTCTTAAAGAGGGATGTTTCAACAGCTGAGACAAGCTGATAATAGCTAGTGATTCCTCTAGGAGCACTCCTCTCACAATCTGTATTCCTTTCTTCTTTTGTAGTACATTGACTCAGGCTGTTTCACTACAAAGATTTGGTAGTTCACCATTTTCTATCCTAAACCACATGATAAATTAGTTTATAATTATTCTACAATCAAGTTGGGTTCAATTTGTCCAGAGAACATATAGACTGAAACTAATAGATTCGTTCATCATCAGAGTAAAATTTGAAGCAGAAAATCAACTTACATCTCTAAGTGAATGAAAACAATGTCTTTAATATCAATACATTAAAATATTAAAAGAAATTGAGGTTGTGTTTGGTTTGTTGTTTGCTGTTGTTTTCTTTTTCTTTTTTGCTTAGCTTCTGTGTAATTGTCTTCTAATTTGAGGTCCTGAAACAGACTTCTCACACTGTTTTAGATGGAATTGGATCAAGCTCATGGAAGGGGTTATGTAAGGGGTTATGTCAAGTTGGTTCCTGTAGAACATTCACTGGACACAATGACAAAACCCTTGCAGCCAGAAGGAAAAAGCATAGAACAGGCATCAGCATGCTTTATGCTTTTTCCTTCTCCCAGAAGGAAAAAAGCATAAAACAGGCATCAACATGTTTAGGGCACATCAACAGGGCATAGGAATACTTTTCTTACAACCCTAAATAGCAGAAAAGGAAAAGAGTTTGTGTCTCTGTTAAGATGCACATCTTAAGGCTTTTTAGTGCATCATAGGGGATCTCTGAATTCACTCATCCCATTTTTAACTTCATAGCTGGATCTATAACAGCAGCTTGATGCTGTGGAAAGGGATTGTCTGGAAGCACCCCCTACAAAACTGTAGAGATGGTAAAGATGAAGTAAGACCTTTTCTCATTCTCCTTTAATCTTGATAGTGGGTTCCCAGCATTAGGCTGGGTCCAATAAATTATGTGTGTTTCGACACATAATGCTTGCTGCTGGGTAGCTGCCATGCAAGATAATAAAATTTCTGCTTAATTGAACCACATTCCCGTCTTCTTTAACAGCTTAAACTCTTGGCTGTTTTTAATACTGCAAGATATATTCACATGAGTATAGGCTGGGAAAAGTGTGATATACCTGTTGTTTAATACCAAAACCAGTATTTCCAGACATAAAGCCAACAGTTGGCATGACTGAGACACTCAGAACTTCAAACATACGCTTTCTCACATGTTTAATCAGAGAAAGTTTACCTAAGTCACTGCACTGGTTTAGCAGAGATATTGAATGTCATGGGGAAAACAGAAAGAGGAAGAAAAGACTCAAAGATTTAAAAATGAAAGAATAATAGTTTCAATATTGTTTAAAATTGAACAAATTCTAATGTATTTAGGTCAAGACACCTGTACCAAAAAAAGCATCTAATGAAATCTCAGTGAAGAAAACAAATACAATTAAACCTAAAATAACTTTATCACGGAGTAGAAATGAAGTTGCCCATACAATTCCCTTTGCTACTATAAAAGCATTATGGGCCAGAATAAGGGCTAGTTTCTGCCAGCAACTGAATTTGCAGTTTCCTGATCATCAAAGTACATCAACGAGGGTACATTTCAGTACTCTGTCTTCCACATATTCTATGCACTTGCAGGTATGAAAAGGGAGGTTCACGTACACTAGAACAACTACTTCCTTAAAAGCCACCCTCCTCTGCTTTGCTGCATTAGAGTTGGCTAATCTCCACAAAATAAAACAGAAACTGGGGGGAAGAGAGAGGGGACATTAGGGCTATCCACTCAATGATTACACTCCCGTTTTTGTAAGAGTGGTCCTTACAGTTGTCTCCAACGTTGCCTTTCTCTTGAGTGAGAATGTTGATACTTAAAACAGGGCGTATTTTCACACTAGGCTTGCTTTGATTTGATAACAAGCAGTTTCCAAGAAGATAGGGAGGTGCTGAGCTCTTCTTCAGTGCTTCACTGCAACTTCCTGCCCTCTCTCCTTACATTTGATCTAGGAATTGTAGCATCCTCAAGTTCATTGATTCAGGAAAAAAGAAACCTAGGTAAGAAAACATAAGGTTCCGACCTGATAGAGATCACCCAAAAAGGACCACCTCTTTGGATGACATCTTCTTTTGGATGTCATGTTTTGAATGACAACCTGAAGCAGAACATCATGTGAAACTAGAGCCTCAACCTACATGTAAGTCCTCATGGAACCAAGCTGGGCCTTACTGAAGTATCCCCACTCTAAGTTGACTATTCCTCCCCACTGAAGCACTGGTGAAGAACATTCTTCAAAGCCAAGGAAAACAACTTAGAGCAGAGCCAAAGAAATTTCTAAAAGCACTGTCCAGTAGAATAAGAGCAATGTTGCTTTTGGCATGAACACTGCCCAAGAGGCATCTTGGTGTGTAGGTTATTCCAAAAAAAGATTTTAAAAAATGTATTTCATTTATATCTGAGTCTGATGTGACATTCTTTCAAAAGTAAATCAGAAGCTGCTTTTGTGCCTTTATAGCCTTTTTGTGCAGCACCCTAAGAAGAAGCTCACTTCCTCCGTTTCTGCCAGGGTCACTTTCTAGGTAGTGACACTTAATAGCCTCTGTCAAAGCTTCTTCCTCCCTTTCAGCATGGTGCTGTCTTCAATTGATTTGAAAATTTGCAGGAATACCTCTTTTTTTTTTTTTTTTTTTGAGTGGTAAGATGTTTAGCTCCTTAACTTTGTCACAAACAAAAAGCAGTAGCTACAGATGTCAGAATCACACTGCTTTAACAGAAGGCAATAAATAAGCTTTTTTTTTTTTTTGTACTCTAAAGGTAGTCAGCTACTCTAAATGTGAAACAACTAACAGCAGTGCTACCAACAATTATAGAAAGATATTGATAGACACTAGATTTTTTGCAGGAAGTGCTCTACTAACCCAGTTGTAATTTTAAAGGCACTGTGCTCAGAAATTCATAATTAAATTCTTTACACATGGTTTTCTTTCATACAGATTTCAGTGAAAAAGATATTAACCTTTCTTAATGAAAGAAAGCACACTTTATGAACAGAGGTGAATGCACTCCCTTGGTAGTGAGAGTAGGTAGAGTCTTTCCATTTGCCACTTGACTGAGATTAAGTGCTGCAGTAGGCAGACACAAAAGGACCTTTCTAGTTCCCAGAGAGCTTGTCCATCCCTTTTCCAGCCTCTCACAACTTGCTTTAAAGGAAATTATATAACAAGTGGGGATGAAAGAATTTCTGAATAATCCACAGAACCCATTTTTATTATATTTTGCCAGGCAGCATATTTAATTTATTCTCTCATTTTGCCACTAGGATAGGTCAGTATAAATTTTCTGTATAAAGTCAGTATAAAAACCTAGTATAATTTTTAACATGAGAAGGATGTATCTTCTTTCAAAATACTTTTTCCTTGTTAATTCATGGCTATTTTGGTGGCATTTCAAAAACTAATGAATACACTGACAGATGACTGGGTGACACCTTTCAAAGAACTGTTTTCACTTTCTGTGGCTAAACATTTGACAGTTTTCTTGCAGAAATGTGTTTCCTGAATAACACTTCATAGAAATTCAACAAAAAGGAACTATACTCCAAACTTGTAAAAGCCAAAACCACATGAACTGCAATTATTTTAGAAACTAAGTGGCCATCAATATTTGTATATCCAGTCTTTGTTTTCTTGTTCTAGCACTGTACACTGTCATTATCTGTTCTTTCAGCAGTATTAAAAGGCTTTAGAAACTGCTGATACTCAGCCATTTACTCTTTAGTAAAGCCAGAGAGCTTTAAAACATTACCAGACCACAGCACGTATCAAAAGACACTTAAGCTACTGCAAAACAGGGCTCCTGACACCAGACAGATGACATTACTGAGCCATTACAGTGCTCACATCTGCTGATTTTTAGAAGATCCACGAGGCTTCATGAATCCCAAAACAAAAGCCTCTGTGGAATAAATGTGAGATGACATATTCTTCATTATGCATTATGTAACAACGTTTCTGCTTCAGAATCCACAAATTGTAGAGATTAATCATTTAATAAAAGCCTGAAAGTGTTGGTGCCTTTCCAAATATAATAGTTTGTCTATTTCGCAAAGGGCTTAAATGGATTGGAAAAAAAAGTATAAGGTTTTTTTTTTTTGGATGATCTTCATACTACAAATTTTAGATTTCATCTCTTGCAACAAAAAGGGTATGCAATCCCTGGTGTTTAATTAGAAGTCTGAAATCCCTTGCTACATTTTACCATTCTTATAGGGATCCCAAATGAATGCAAAGTGATGCTATAAGCATTTCTTTCCCCCTGATGATAGTGCCCATACAGACCAATGCAGTACTTTACTCATCAAGCTATAAGGTCAGTGAGATTTTAGGTCAGCTCCACTTAAAACTGATGTTGCTCTTCTTGCCTCTGCCATTTAAGTTTGGTGCCAAACTTTTTAGTTTTCCATACT